AAATTATATATGCAATAAGTAATAGTGATTCATCGCTTAATTTAGGGACTAAACCATGTGTTATAGGGGAACTCCATATAATTATACATAAAAAAGATTTTGTCCAACCTTAATTATTTGTCAATACTATGAAATTTGACAATATTGTTCAAACAAATTACTTAATGATCAAAGAATGGTGCGATAATATATCCAATAAAGATTCCACTTGGAGAAAAGATGATTCTATTTTTAAAAAAAACAATGTTATTTTGATCACCATCCTAGTACTACTCTCGCCCAAACTCGCTTAACTTCGGAGTTCTGAAGGAATCCAGAGGACTAAACCATGTGTTATAGGGGAACTCCATATAATTATACATAAAAAAGATTTTGTCCAACCTTAATTATTTGTCAATACTATGAAAGTTGACAATATTGTTCAAACAAATTACTTAATGATCAAAGAATGGTGCGATATATAATATATCCAACAAAGATTCCACTTGGAGACAAGATGATTCTATTTATAAAAAAATAAAAAAAAAATTATTTTGATCACCATCCTAGTACTACTCTCGCACAAACTCGCTTAACTTCGGAGTTCTGAAGGAATCCAGTGCATGTGAGATGGTATAATCGTATCCAAGAAAAAAAAATGTTATCATAATTGCCACATATAAGTGAGAACGTACCCTATTATTAGGGCGTTTATGTTTATTATTATTTTTTTCATTTATGCTAATATATTGGCTACCAGATGGTTGGCCAAAGGCTGCTTCAAACTAATTTCCCAATGAGAAAAAGAAAAAAGAAATGAATCAAATCTGGATTGCTCATGGTATTCTTTGATAAATAAAACAAAAATAGAAAGCTTAACTGAGAAATGCATCGCATGATGAGAATATAATAAAACTTGAATCGAGAATTAATGCTGCTTTTTGTGTTACAACATTTTGTCAAACATGCCACAGTATGAAAATTATTATCTTACGAACACTCCGAATTTTCGCGAACAGTTGTGGCATTTTATAATATGTTATCACCAAGACATGGTTTTTCCATTAAACAAACAACTAAGACATTGAAAAATGGCATACAGTGAGTTCCTGTTTATTATTTTTTACCTCGAGAAGAGTTGACACCTTACAACTACATAGCTCTAAGCTTAATTTATCCATACTTTTTTACATTAATATGTAAAGGCTAAATTGCGATTTTGCTCCCTGAATTAAATTATATTTGTTAATTTATCTTTGGATGACTTTTCCCACGTGAGCCCTTTTGCACGTGATAGAGCTATGAAATCCTTCAAAATCTGACCACATGCACCTAATTGGCTATTTTAAACAAATTTGTATCTTTAATTTACCTAAAAAATAATCCATGAGGTAAATTGACAAATCATGATTTAGTTCAGGGGCAAAACCACAGTTTAGCCATAATGTAAAGTAATAAGCTAGTTGGAAGGTGCCTCCTTTGCAATCCCCTTGTCATAAATTTTGGCAAGTGATTAAATTAATTAAGCTTAGATTAAGGAGAACAATAAGACAAGAACCCTGGTTGGGCGGCTAAAACAAGTGGGTTTTACATTTTTGGGATGCCAAAGTTGCAAGTTGGATCGAGAAAAGGGAAGAGAAGTTGGCCTCAAATACTTTTAAGTCAAATGAATCACACACATATTTAATTAAAATAAATTAAGCAGAGTTTTAAGTGATTCCTTTGGATAAACACAAACGTCACTGTGTTCAGGGGGAGATGACGATAGCCGCATCTGCTAACCATGATCAAGAATTAATAATTTAATTAATACAAATAAATTTATAAATAAAATATATAAAAGCCAGAAAAAATAATAATATCCTGGAACCCAAAATGGCAAAATGGCAAAATAAATAAAATTGTAATTTTGAATGCATGGTGTGGTCCATTGTATTGGCTCCAAGTGGCCGGGAGATTAACCCAAGCACATGACAGACATGTTACTGAATAGTAATGCAACATTCAAAATAGATATAATTTTATGAGCCTAAATTTTGATTAATTAGATGCTGGTAATTAATTATTGGTGAGTAATCTCCCATTAATTAGATGCTGATCGATTGATGTGTTTAACATTGCACGTGTTACATACACACTTAGTCACACACAAAACGCATAATTCGATATCATAATTTTTTAATTTTATTTATTTATTTATTTATATTATTGTGTTTGCGTGCCGGCTTAAATTATAATTGTGTTTGCGTGCCGGCTTAGAGGGATCCCTTGATGAGTGTCGAAAGTCAGAAATGAGGGCATGCAAAATGAAGAAAAGCTGGAGGATAGAGACATGAAGGGAAACCAGGGGCTCACATTTTTATTATGTATGAAGCATATTTCAACATCCAGGCAACTTGAGTAGGTGACGTTCATCAAACCACTGCCTAAGTCTTAAATTTAATGTTTTAATTCGATGAGGACAATGATTGGGTGGTAGGGATGAATATATGATCGATGATAATTCTTTTATATCTGAAAGTACCTAATTGGAATGATATCGGATTATCCTACTATTTCATATGCCATTTCTAAATTTTAACTTTGTTTTATACAACATATTAAGAGACGGGGGATTCAAACAGAAGATTTTGATTGAAATGATACATTTATAACTTTTAAATCCGAGTAAAAGATTGCATTTCGTTTATTTTACAAGTAGGTTGTGAAATGAGGAAGCGAAATATATATTTAGTTTTAGCTTCCATCTTTTAAGTTGGAGTATAGGGCAGTTAGACATTGATTTTTATAAAAAATGGTCCATACAAAAGAAATGAAAGAAACTCAACACTCTACTTCCGATGGACCGACAACATGACATAATTAACTCATCCTATTCATCATATATACACTTTTACCATGATATTTAAATTTCATAATATTGGAAGTTGAAATGGCCCTCCAAACTAATCCTACCAACTATCGCTCTCATGTGCCTTTTGCTAATTAAGGTGCAGGCTGGCTGGCCTTTAACCTCAATATTAATTAAACGTATGTGTTATGTACTAAATTGAAATGGATATAGAGATAATCATGATATGACACGAGTTAAAATAAATGTATGCGCAGATGGGTTTAGCCAAGTTGGCTATAGTGGATATGAGTTCGAGTTGCCAGCTCGTCTAATAATAAGGCTTGATTTTGTTGACAAGCCAAGTTCAAATACCTAAACACGTTTGTTGACACTGCAAACTGGCTCAACCATCAAATAGAAACCCTGCAAAACTGCAAATTACTAGTGAAGTGACAATAGTTGTCGATTGAAGGCTCTTTTGATAAGAATTTCGGAGATCTCTAGAATGAGCCTTCTGTAGTTGACATAAGAGAGTCATAAATGCCAATATCTGACCTCCCAATATGATTAATAAATATGACTTAATGAGTTGCGTCTTGTGTAATTAATAAGTGAGTCATTGTTAAGTTGGGATTACCTTTGATCTTGTAATTACTAAGAGTTATAATAAATATAATTATGAAATTTTAATTACTATAAATTACTCTTTTAACGGGTGATTAGTTACGTTGGTTATGAATGCAGATGATCGTGTGACTGTTGTAAATGATGTTGCTTAACTTCAAATAGAGTGGTTTTTGAACTCCCATTTATAAACAACCATGTAATCACAAAAGTTTGATCATAGATTAAGTAATTAACAGAATACTCTTTTAATGCCACCTATTAATAAAGTTTCTTAAAAAAGGATTATCAATTTGAATAATTTTAGCATAATCTTGCACAAAGAAATTAGTCAAACCAAGCTGAGGTGCCACACTAAATTGATACCACTACTTGAATATATTTCACATGGAAAAAAGTTCAAACATGCGTGCGAGCTTGAATCAAGCTCAAGCCATCATCAATAATCCAAGCCTTAGAGTAAAAATCCTATCCGCGAACCGGACGGGCCTAAGAGTAAAAATCTGAAAAGAAAAACTTAAATGAATATAAATGCACTGGCCAAATCACAAACGACGACAGAATTAATTTGTTTGCTTTCATCAATAAGATTTTTACCAAAACAAAAAAATAAAAAAAAGATTGTATAAAATTAGGGTTAGTTGATCTCTTTGGAGGCATGAGAGAACGGAGAAAGGTGATATAAATGACTGAATACTTCAGCAAAGGGCAGTCAAACAATTATATTGCCTAACAGAGAGGATGGTCCTGTTGAGAAATAAATATGGAAGCAAGCAACAAGTCAAATTAATTATCCCCAAAATAACCCACTTAACATAAACTAATCACCATGAGGTAAATTTTACCATTTCCTTTTCTTTTCACCAGCTTAGCTTAGCAGCAGATGCTTCAAAATAGGTACCGTAGAAGCAAAATTCCAAAAATAAAGCCAAAAAGAATAAAAATGGTCCACCAATCCTAGTCGCTCTATTGAATTACAAGTTCGTGCTCTCCAAAACAGCTGGCTCCTTGGGCCTTATCGTAGATAACATTTAAAATAAAATAAAAACACTTAAAATTGAATATGAAAAATACCACCTAGGATAATGACAGGTACAAGCTCACATGAGCCCAACCAGATAATACATGGGGTCCCTACGCATATATAATTTCCCAGAATTTATTCATCAGAAACTATTTTATTTTATTTTTTAAGAAAATATGTAAGGAATCAATTAGTCTTCACTTCACTTCATTGGATGAGGTCTGGACGTTATTTATCTGTGATGAGTTCGATACCTAGTTAGTTGTGATTAGCTTTATTGTAACAATGTAACGTTCTTTTGGGTGCACGAGCCCGTTGTAAACGTATTTTGTAAATATTCTATCGTTTGTTCAAAAAGCATATATATAAAAAATTAAAATTAAAATAAAATTATGCCAAACTTGAGAAGGTTCCAGGGAGGCACCTCCATGTAAGAAAATCACACACATGGTCACATAGTCACACATACACACACACACAAAACACAAATATCTCTTTTTATTTTTCTTCTTCTTTAATTTCTTTGTTTTCTCTCTCTCTCTCTCTTCTCTCTTCTCTCTTCTCTCCTCTCTTCTCTCTCTCTCTCTCTCTCAAAGCCCAAGGTCAACAACAAGAGGAACTTCTTTGCACTCTTTGAAACGTCCATGGGGTATCTGAGTCTTGTTGGTCAAAGAAGAATGCACCGACCGTCATTGTATTGAGAGCTACGCTTCTAGCTTCTGCTTATTCTGAGCCTGCTGCCTGCTACTTTCCTCTCTTCTTCTTCTTCTTCATCATCATCTCACAGTCACAGAATTTCCCATCAGCAATCTCAGCCCTAGAAAAAAGAAAAGCAAAAAACCCACAACAATAACAACAAAAAAGAAAGAGGAAAGTTGGAAAAGAAGTGTTGCTTTAGAGTTTAGGCCAAAACCCACCTGCTCTTTTTTTCTCTTCTTCTATCTCTTTTTCTTCTTCCTTAGATCTTCAAGATCTAGGAATCGAGGAAAAAAAACAAGAGGTGAGGGTTTGATTTTCGACTTTTTTTCTTTTATCATGAATTTCGGGTCAGCTGCTCGAGATGGGGGTTTCTCTACTGAAGATGAAAACAACATGGTGAGAGGTAAGCTTCCTTTCTCCTATGCCTCCTCTCCATCTTCTTCTACTTCTTCTGCTCAGTACAACAAAACCACCAGCATAGCCACTCTTGTCCCTTCTGCTCACTACAACCGTGCCGGCTACGACGACGGCCCCGACACAAAGCTCGAGCTCATGGACTCATCGCCGAGAGATAGAGATAATAATGAAGAAGACGACGGCAGTCGAAGAGAAGAAAACCCAATCGCCATAGAAAGGGAGCACATGTTCGACAAAGTTGTGACGCCAAGCGATGTGGGGAAGCTCAATCGCCTCGTCATTCCAAAGCAGCACGCAGAGAAGTACTTTCCTTTGGATTCTTCCACCAACGAGAAGGGGCTTCTGCTCAATTTCGAGGACCGGAATGGGAAACCATGGAGGTTTCGATACTCCTACTGGAACAGCAGCCAGAGCTATGTGATGACAAAGGGCTGGAGCAGATTCGTCAAGGAGAAGAAGCTCGACGCCGGAGACATCGTCTCCTTCCAGCGAGGCCTTGGGGAGTTGGGGAAAGACCGGCTTTTTATTGACTGGCGGCGCCGCCCAGATGTGCCTGATCCCATCCACCATCACCACCCGCTTCATCCTCATCATCATCATTACCAGCCCAATTTCGCAATCGCTCATCATCATCAGCAGCAGCAGCAGCATTTCTCCTGGAACCACCACCAACGCTCGGTTCCATGGAGCCCGCTATTGATGAGGCCACCACCCGGGGGAGGACTCGTCCCCCGGGACCACTTGCAACACTTGTCCCAGCAGATTAATTACAGCATGAATATGCATCACCCGTATCGAAATACAGGGACAAGTAGCACTGCTGGTGGTGGTAGTGGCGGTAGTGGCGGAAGTTCTTATGGTTACGGAAATGTGGTTAGCTCTTCTGGACCAATTTATTATCTGAGATCGGCCTCTTCCGCTGCCCCACATGAATACGAGGGCAGCGGATTAGGATTACAACAACAACTGCAGCAGCAGCAGCAGCAACAGCAACAACAACAACAAGTACAGCTCCTGGGTCGGGTTCATGAGCCGAATATGGTTTTGGAGTCGGTGCCTGTGGTCCACGGGAAGGCAGCAGCCAAGAGACTGAGGCTATTCGGGGTGAACATGGATTGCCCCATATCGGAGTCGGATCATGAATGTGACATATTGTCGTCGTCTTCATCTCAATATCATCATGCTACAATGGCATCTCCCTCTCACCAACTTTCGCCTTCCTCACAACCCCCACTCCAATTAAGGCTCTTTGATGGCACGCCTCTGCCCTCAACTACAACAACAACAACTTCTGCTAGTACCACCACCGACTTTCTCAGCATCGGAGGCAAGCACCAAGCTTCTTCTCCATTCTCCATGTCCTTGGATTTTGACGTCTGACAACTCCAACAACAGCATCTAACAATGCCAATAAAGACACAAGGGCAAATTCAGAAGAGTTTCGGAGTTGAAATTTTTCGGTTTCGATTGGTGAAAAAAAATCTTCGGTACAGAAAAGGGGTACAAGGTTTGGGTTTTTTTTTTTCTTCTTCTTTTTCTTTGAAGAGAATGAATGAATGAATTCTAAGTGAGGAGAAATATGCCAACAATTAATATTATCCAACTCATGTCTTTATCTTTAATAGTTTTTTTTATAGCTTAATTTTCATGTGTATAAATATTTTAATTTTTATTAAATACAACAATTTATATAGACACAGATGATCATATATAGTCAGCGCAGGTATATTCTATGAAGAAGAAATAGATCCATCATTGCCCCAAGATATAATATTTCATGCTTATTTCTTTTTGTAGCCTGTCTCTCTCCCTCTCTCTGGAGTTTAGCTTCAACTCTTCCCCCTTCCCCCAATGAATTTGTATCATCAAGCCACCATGGCTGTCTCTTCTTCTCACTTTTGATAAATGAAGTAATTTGTTTCCAATTTATCCTTGTTTTTCTTTTGGTATGAATATTCTCTTTGGCCACCGACTTATCTCTCTATTCTGACTCTCTCTCTCTCTCTCTCTCTCTCTCTCTCTCTCTCTCTCTCTCTATCTATCTATCTATCTCCCCAATGCTGTTGTTGGTTGGTTGGTTCAAGTAAGTAAGTAAATGGAGACAAGCTTTCCTGACTGCTCAGCAAACTGATTATGATCAGTAGTGCTGCTAGCTATAAGCTACCTGATGTAATTGCAGTTTTGTATTTTACCTTTGGTAGGTTGTTGTTCTTGTCGCTGCTTCGTTGGGCACACCACCGCAGATTTTTCAGAAGACTTGCAGAGATTAAAAGCAAAGGTAGGCTGTTATATATGCATACAAATCTTTAATTACTATTTGTTTGTCTTTGTCATTATTTTCGTCATTAATTCTAGCCACCTTCTTTTTCTGTCTGCAAATATGTAATTTTATTTATTTATTTATTTATTTTTTAAAATCAAGTCTCCTCATTAATTTAAATCTTATCATGTTTAATATTAATTATTGCAAATAAAAATCACGATTTCATTAATTTGTAAGGCTTTGTCATAGAGTTATAAATATTAATTATACCATACATACTTGGGTAGAAATATATGTTTATGGTATATATATATATATATATACATGCATTAATTGCAATTAATTGCATGCATGAAGTCAAATAAGCAATATATATAGTAATTACATTTGTTGGTAAACCCTAATCTTGAATTGTTCAACCTGAAATTATCTAAATCTGTCATTAGTTTCATCACTATATTGAATTCATGAGAATGATGCATTGTTATATCATAGAACTAGCTAGGGTTGCAATTGATATTTGTTGGCGCTAAATCTTGAATAGATAGAGATGAGTGCAACTTACAAGTGGGATGGACGATCAAGAGATCGATTGGGTGTTGGATGCCGATTCTTCCTGTCCTTGGATGCTGATCCTGAATAGAAGATAAGCGAAGCTCGTGAGGTCTATGGAACCGGTGTGGAACCAGCCTAAGACCCTCCGTAATTTTCCAGTATAGATTAAGAATGCAAACTTCAAGAAACTATACCAATTCATGATTTATTTTGTATACATTAATAATAATAACCATAAAATATTTTGTTCCTTAGTAAATTCTTGTTGATGCTAGGATATAAGAAAAATATAGCATCTCGTAAGAAAATTTCCAATCACTTTATTGCTATCGTATTATTATGATAGAAAACAAAAACAAAAACAAAAAACAAAAAAGATTTGTATCGTATATTATTAATAAGATTTGTTTCTTATTGGTAATTTGATCTAGGTTTGTTTGATCTTTAATTGTCATATATATACCAATGTAATACATGTTCCTTTTCCTAAACCCTTTCACTCTACTAGTGTTTCATGGTCAGATAAGGATTTTGTGGAGTCCTTTGCGAAACACTTACATAGGTTTGAAAACTTATATATGTTTACGGATACACAAAGACTAGCTAGCAGTGACGTACTACATTTAGAATTAATATTTATTTTGCAATTGCAAGGGTATACAATACTACATTTAAGTTAATTAACATTTAACTAAAATAACCATCTTTAACCTAAATCAATATACGCAAGCCCTACAAGTTGATGAGTGTATATTTCATATATGGAAATAATAATTTGCCACATTTATTTGTCCGAAATCCAGCGACAAAGTAAAACCAGGGTTCGATTTAATTGTATATTATGTTTTGTTAGATATATATAGATTGATGTCATTTGTAGCCTTCAGGGTGAACCGCATAGGTATCTTAATTATGTATCACGTAGATGGTTTGTGATAAGTTTCCAATTTAAGTTAAATTGTTTGGTTTTTATTTTATTTTTTATGCAAGCGATATTGGGAGAGGGTGGTTTTCTCACACACACACTGTCAAGGTGCCATGGGGGTTCAAACTTGAGACCACTAGTTTGCAAGTCAAGGCATTTTGCACTAGACTAGACCCCGTTTACAATCGGTTGGTTTTTTAAATTTAAACTGATGAACCCTTTATAGTATAAAGTTGTAATTGAATTTCCTGCAAAACGAAGTGCATTTCTTACAATGAAGCAGCTGCATTTGGATACATGAACAGCCTGGAACTAGCTTTGCACATGATGAAAATATCATATATAGTAACATTGTTAGTTGTTTTCTTGGCAGGTCCATATCATATACACAGAGTTGTGGATATTCTTTGCAAGTATAGAAAGCTGGTAATATTCTTCGGTAATTAATGCTTTCAGGTGTTAATGGCCGTTTTTCAGGGTTTTGGCAAGAGTTTTTTTCTCCATCGAAATTCCCAATTGAATGTTGAGTCACCTGTTCAAAAGTCTTTGGATTTGAATGACGAGTAGGAAAATTCTCTTCTTCATTATTTCTGGTTTGGAATTTGAGAAAGGTTGCTGAACTTTTTAAGTCAATGGTGCCAAACTAACTCTATGATATTCCTATCAATGAAAAAAAAAACCTAATTCTATTTCGTTTTGCGGATTTTTCTTAGCTACTATTTGATAGAAAGAATCATCTTAAGATGTCTCAACAATGCGATTGAGATTGGGAAAGAGTGCTAGCATGAATCAAGTTCACGCAAAACTTTTAAGACATTCATATATAAAATTGAAGGTAAATTTCTTTTCTTACCGACGCAAATGGTGCATCATCGCCGGATTAAGTCGTTCAGTTGCCTAATCAAATCGAAAAGGTATAATCAAAATGTCCCCTTTAAATTGTTCCATATTATATAACTAGCCATCTACCTCATTCGTTCCTAAAATGGCTCTCTATTTGTAAAATATATAGAATTTGAACTCTGCCAATGGGGGATATTGTTTTGCTGAATTGCTGCTGAATTGTTGCCCTAGGGATATGCCTTGGTCGTAGTAACAAAGGAACTAGATTCCGATTTTACTATTTATACCCACTATCTCCAAAAGTAAAAATCTCCTATTTTGCACTCGCTTTTTTTTTTTAAATTTTTTTAAATTTAAATTTATAATTTTTTTATATATTTTTTTAATAAAAGAAAAAATCCCAGTTTAAAAAAAGATTGAAAATAACATGGGCAAATCTGGCCATCGAGAGAAGGGTAGGGGTGACTGAGGAAGTGATGACCAACTGGATTATCAATGGTGGATGGAAGGGGACGGGACGGCAAGGAAAGGAAAGATAGGTAAGTTTTTTGTTTTTTTAATATTTATTTTTTAAAAAAAATTCAAAGATGTGATTGTTGGTATAAAATTAATGGGAAGATGCATGTGATTGCTGAGGTAATTAACCAGAAGGTTTCGCTGGTAATTTCATGCATGGAAATAATAATATAATAATTGTCTCGTCAAAGAAAGAACTGGATCAATCAAAAGTGTTAAGGAAGTTAGACTTCACATCCTGCTGACTTTCAAAACTTTGATTAATTTCAGTGGTAGAAGGAAACTTGAAGACGGCATATATGTGACATGACAAGAATATTCAATGGGAACGACTTTGAACAAAACTCGAAATAGAAAAAGACCCCAATTGTTATCGGAAGCAAAAACAAAAACCAGAAAATTATTGAGTAGAGATGAGCAGTGTCCTTTCGTAGGCTCTGGTTTATTGGAGCAGTAAGGCATAAGTACTGTTGTGTTTGGGGGTTGTCATCCTTTACAAGGACAAATCCACTGCCAATGCTTAAAGCTCGCTATTTGCCTATTAAATTCACCTCACTATATATATATATATTTATTATTATTATATATATATATATTTATATAGAATTTCTCTTATACGGACGTCCGAACGTTATTACTGTGGCTATGTCCATGCTTTCCTCCCTATTTATAATGACGTCGTTACGTTATTACGTCCGAATGGAAAAAGAAGTGAGACACCTA